CTATACTCCTTTACAACAATCAGTTCAGAACCTCGCTCAGAAGATCTTCTCACTCGTTTCCTCGCGACCGGTCACGCTTTGTAACTTCCTCGATGCGCCGGAACTAGAGAGTTTTCTAAACCAAAAGGATGCAGATGGCGAGAAACTCAGAGTTGTATACCGAAACTACGCAACACTGTACTTTGTGTTCGTTGTGGATGCTGCGGAGAGTGAGTTGGGGATCTTGGATTTAATCCAGGTTGGTTGTGCATGCCCTAGCTTCTAGTTCTCCTTACGTTTGACTGACTGGGATCTTCCCTTTCCCTTGTATGTACGCCTCCCGTTAGGTGTTTGTGGAGTCCCTAGATCGTGCCTTCGAGAACGTGTGTGAACTGGACTTGGTGTTCCACTTCGACGAGGTACATGCTTCTTGCGTTCTTATGATTGCATTTTTACCTACTGAATGGCATACCCACAACATTATTAGGTGCACCATATACTCTCCGAAATTATCCAGGGAGGAATCGTCCTCGAGACAAATGTTGAAGAAATAGATCATGCCGGTAAGTTTACCCTCACAACGTAACGATTCCGCAACTGTTCTCGTGTGTGACTTATGTTGTCTTTTTTAGTCCAAACTGCCGCGAAAGCGAGGAAGGAATCATTCGCATCTGCCAATCCCCTTTCCCTGGGTGGAGGTGGAGTCGGATCTCGAGGCACAGGGCTTCAAACGCCCCTTGGTTGGTTGACAGGAAGGTTGACAGGAGTCGGAATACGGTAATCACAATGAGTGATTGGCCCGAGAATTTGTACCCGAGAATATGGGATCGACCTCGAGGTCGAGGTTTGGAAATTTAATCATTGCTACCAAACTTGTACATCGAGTCTCCCCGCCGGCAACTTGGCGTGCAACCCCCAAGAATAAGCCGTGTATGAAACTTTGCCATTTCTAGCCCAACCTATAACCGTCCGGTAACGCTGCACACACATAGATGTCTAATGTACAGCTTCCTACTTGGCGGATTCTTTGACGAGCAGGAACGGCAAGAACGGGACCCCGAGGAAAGCAACCTTCTAAATCCATCATCACAAGTCACGATGTTAGAGTGGTGGCGTTCTACCATTCAAGAATGAGCTGCATGATGATAAGTTGAAGACATGCCATTGCGGCATGCAGCGTCAACGATAGACACCTGTTTCTAAACTTTCTATCCTGTCGGCGGTGCAATAGACGTGCCTGTGGACGAAGAGGGACTGCAGTTAGATTGCCTACAGATTTGGTGTTTATGAAACTCACGTTTCTTCTTCTTTTTGCCAGCTCCGGGAGGTCCTTTAACGGATGGACCCTCACCAGCAGGAGTTGGCGCATTGGAAGCAGTCCTCGGGGTGGGTGCCCGAGGAGGTATAGCTCCTGGTGTGGTTACTGCAGTACCTGATCCAGCAGTGGGGCTCTCAGGTACCCCTTGATCAGACACACCAGAAGGTACTGTGAAAGTTTGAGTAGCGTGAACGGCTGTAGTTCGCATGGCTCTCCACAAGAGCGAGTTGTTTTGTTGTCGTTTCCTTGAAGTCTCAGTATTCAACGGCCTCTTGGGGGCTATACTTTGCGAGTCATCGGTCTTCTCAAGTTCTCCGTCGGTCACCCGTTTGGAATCACTTGGTGAAGCTGCTTCCATGATGGGCCATACAAAACCTGTTCGTGGTGTGTAAGCTGGCCGGTGGCTCCGTAAGATGTCTAATGATGATTGTAAGGAGTGTAAGGATGTCAACTTGAATGTGGGGCTTCTTAGTCAATCTGTGCGCGTGACGTCGAGATTCAAACTTACAAGACGATTTGAGATGAGTGTGTATACATCCGGCGACTGGTAAATCCTGTTATTCATAACGAAATATGCAGCCAAGGGTCGAACTAGAGAGCACCCGGTTAAGGACACGCCGACCTGTTTGCTTCTCATGACATACCTTCATCGGGAGAAAATCTTTCTCTTTTGTGAATAATGAACAACGAGGGTGGTTGCGAATGCACCAAAGCAAACTCGATACCAGTAAACCGTCTTCAAGTGGACAAGTTTAGAAACAGTTTGGTAAACCCAAGCGTACTTAGAACAAACCTAAGTTCCTCGGCTTCATTAACCAGCGGCACGCCAGTGTGCATTGTCTGCATGCGCAGCACTTGGTTGTTGCTCTGCTTATCATAGAACATTGACGTTGCGAAATAGTCGAAAATGTTCTCATTGGTCAGAGGACCATTAGCCTGGGTACCAATCAGAGGGACTGATGTACATTTGAATTAAGTAGCTGACCTGTATCCATTCGTGCCATATAAAAAATCGGTGGCTATAGTCGTCTGGGGGGTGCAAGTCAGTGAGATCCATGGTTGCGCTGTGTCGGTGGACGCGTTGGGCGTTGCAGACGAAGTGATGAACGAGTATAAGTTGGAGACGGCGAGCTTGTTCTGTGTGAGGTCAATTTTCCCACGAGCACAACTTATTCCCATTCCACGCTCGGACGAGCGAGCAGGCCGGGATGAGTGGGAAGTCGGTACAGCATATACATGTCGTCGTTACCGAGTTTCTGTATCCATCCGTTCCTCTGGTCCCAACAAGTATCCCTAAGGATGGCTCCCTCGAGGGCGCGACGTTTCTCCCCACTCACCAATTATGCCCCCAGGGATCTCTGCTAAATCGCCTCCAGCCTCCGCATGTCGCTCAGAGTGAGGTGGATGCACCTCAGACTGTTAGCACATCTTGGGCAGGTCGCGTAAAGTCCGCTTCTAAGACTGTAGTTACCCATGTCACGAAGCACATCGGAGTGGGCATCATTTGCTCCGTTGCATACTTCGATCCGTGAGTCTACATACCATAATTTGTGAATTGTAACTGAGCTCGACGCAGTGGTAACTGGAGCGTTGACTTGCAGGCAGGTTCCCAATTTGGGTACAGGCCCATGCTCTTCGTGATCCTGCTCGCTGGTCTGGGCGCGATGGTGCTTCAGGTATAGATACTCGAGCTCAATTGATGGGACTCTGACCAACTATTCACATTAGACCCTGGCCCACAGATTGGGGTGTGTCACAGGATATGGTAATGACGTTCTGCACAATAAACGGAACATTATCTGACCTCTCCACAGATCTAGCGACACATTGCAGGCTTCTCCTTCATGACCGACCTAAACATCGTCGGTTAATCCGTTATGCAGCACTGTATCCCCTCTACATCCTGTGTGAGATAGCTATTATCAGCACTGATCTGGCAGAACTTCTGGGCTCTGCAATCGGTCTTTGCCTCATCTTTCCAACATTGCCATTATGGGCTGGTGTCCTCCTCACCGCCAGTGACGTTTTGGTATTTCTGTTGCTCGGGGACCCTTCTCGTGGACAAGGTAAACCTGTCAAGACATTCGAGTATACAGTTATAGCGCTGGTAAGCCTGATCTTGTAAGTGTCATTGCATTAGACACGACCCAATCTTCGTTAGGTATTTGCTGTTCTGGCATGTTTCATTGTCCTTCTAGTACGTGTGAGCCCCCATTGGCCAAAGGTCTTCTTGGGTTATATCCCGTCGGACGCACTCCTAGAAACCAACCCGAACGCACTGTACACTGGTAGGTTCATGATTATCCGTACTACTTGGTCTCATACATATTACTGAACACTAAACCTCGTAGCTGTTGGGATACTGGGTGCGACCATCATGCCACACGCACTATTCTTAGGCTCCTTCCTTGCAACCCAGGATCGTGTAGGCGGACCCGAAGAGCCGTTGCCTACCCCAGCCAATGCCTCCCCGTCTCCCCGAAGTTTCCGAGATAAGTTCGTCCGCTGGGGGCGTTCTCTCTTCGAGGTTTCACGCAAAGAGCGGATCGCCGCGCAACGTGATTATCGCGACAAGTACGGAAGGGAAAACAAGGACGTTGGATTTATCAAGGCGCATATGAATCATGGTCTGGTGGACGTTATTACTAGTTTAATGGGGGTTGCCGTTCCTATTAACTCTGCGTAAGTGATCTGAACCATTCTGGCATATAACACCATTGAGCGTATGGATTACAGCATCCTGATCATTGCTGCAACTGTGTTCCATGGTCGATCAGATGTAGCACCTGCCGGCCTCTTTGATGCATATGATCTTATTAAAGCTCATATTGGAAAAGGTGCGTCTCATTTCTCCGATTCAATGTGCCACTGACCAACTAGTACATCAGCCGCTGCATTCGTCTTCGCACTTGCACTGTTATGTGCTGGTCAGACCGCAAGCATCACGGCAACATTGGCTGGCCAGATTGTATCCGAAGGATTCATAGAATGGCGTATTTCTGTAAGTGCAACGCTCCATTCTATGCCGTCATGTCCATCTGATTCCAAGTTGAACAGCCATTCCTTCGTCGTATTATCACACGACTCATCGGATTGGTACCATCCATGGTTGTTGCCATTGGTGTCGGTAGAGAAGGTATCGATATTCTATTGGTGGCATCACAAGTGGCTTTGTCCATCGTCCTTCCATTTGTTGCCTTTCCACTCATATGGCTCACCTCTTCCAAATCTATCATGCGAGTGAGAAAACCAATGGATCTCAGGACACCCGTGTCGACGGAGGTACCCTCGATGAACCAAGTTCCTAGCGTATTAGAGCTCGAGGTACCAGTGTCCGATGACATACTGCCTGAGCCCGTGACGGAGATATTGACTCCATCATGTCCAGAAAAGAGCGGGGAAGTTGAAGTCTCAGAAGAGGAGAAACGCGAGTATGTGCCAACACGTGGACCACTTGCGTCGGAAGAAAATTCCATCGTTGAGGATGATTATATCGATTTCAGCAATGGATGGATAATGACTCTGTTAGTCTCGCTAATATTTATGGTTGTATTAGCTGCAAATCTGTATGTTATTGTAGTATTAGGGCTAGGTAAAAACTAGATAGGCTATTTCGCGTATACCTTTTCGTCTCTATACATAATGAATTCGAATGGATCTATAAATATTGAAGCAAATTGGCATTTGTAGGCAAAAATAACATAGCCCACCGCGAGGGTCGAACTCGCAGCCTTCAGATCACACGATCGTTGCACCCGCATGTACTCGGTAAGAGTCTGACGCTCTATCCGATTGAGCTAGGCGGGCGATACAATGTATCGCTTAATGATTGTTTCCACCGCAACGTTGTTATATCACATCTAAGAAGAGACTGATAAGATAAATAACGACGGGAAGATCATTTAGGTGTGGCCGCCAGTGTACGTACTAGTATGACCGCGCCACCAACGAGCCCAAGTCCAGGTTTGAGCTCTAGTTACCAGGCTGTAGTGGAACTCATCAGTTGTCCTGGAATCAATGGTTCATTGAAACTGGCCGCTGAACATCATAATAATCAGTCAATATTTTTGGAGTTCTTGCTCAGGCAGCAGCCCTCACCGACTTAATCTTGAATTCATAGGGAGCGGGAAAAGTCAACCAGAATCCACGTTTATCGAAAATGAATTGACGATACTTCATAATATTATTACTAAACATGTTACTAACATCTCAGCTAGTGATCAATTTACGGGAAAGTCACAATTCTGGCAAGACAATTCAAGAACTCGCTTTCGGATAGGATCATGCTAGTGGTCCATGTATAGATCTATTTATCAGTACCATGCCTTGTCATCCATTTCTTTCCCCTCTAGCGGCGCACCGACCAATTTGCGCAACGGAGCGGTGTTTCGGGCACTGAGAGCCCTGTTACTCAAATCTACATGGAAACCCCGCTGGGATATTGGAAACTTTCAGATTTGTAGGTGACTCTCGCAGAAGACTAGGGCAACGTTCCCAAAGCCTTTACACCGTACTGAATAACATAGTCGAGTATCGATTAGGCCCTGTCTCTCTGCCCGTTTCCGGTTGCGAATGGAAATAGTTGCTCTTCAAAACCGGGGGCTCTATGAAGAGGATGACTAACTGCTACGTCGCTTGGTTGACGATAGATTCGCGGTGGTTTCTCTTGTGCTTGGTAGTCACCTGGCGATGAGATAGAAGATGCAAGGTTCAACCTGCTTGATCCAGCTGGAGGGGCGGCGGTCATACATTGAAAATCAAGAATAGGTGATGAGGTTCCGTTGATTCTAGCTGGTTTTTATGTCAATAATTAATTGTATGTTGACTAGGACTAAACCGTATTGGTGGACGTGGTGGTGGTCTTGGCCAAGCTATGATGGGGTGTTGCTCGCTAGTTTGGCTATGGGGTTCAAGGCGTAGGCATAGAGGATGATCCAGCGTATAAAGGCGTTGACCACTTGTGGACCTAATAGTGATCGAGGTGATGCGAAGGGCCAGGTAGCAGTCCATAGAGTACGCAACTAGCACCTCAGATTTCGAAGACGTCGGTCAAGAATGTTTGAAAATGATGTATGATCTATTCGTGCCTCCTCGGATAAGTACAAGTGTCAGCGATTACAAAGTGGGTCATAGAAGGAGCACCGCTGTCCGATAGATATCCTATTTTCATTAGACACGATGCCAAAAAATCAGCCACAAGGTTATCATTGCGGCACTCACCGCCAGTCTACTTTTGATATCATGCAACCATCTATCATCTCACTTCTCGGTACCCGCGTCCAACATCTCCAACGTCTGTCCGATACGGCCACTGATGTTGTTTGGCGACTTATGAACGGTGGGAACAAGGTGCTAGGGGGTGATGAGGACGTGGCGGGTGACCTGCCACCAGTCAGGAAGAGATGTCACAGGATGTGGTATCGAACGTGGATACCGATAACCGTTCATCTCCAATAACACGAGGCCTTAGCTGGTACCAGGACAGACCGTCTCTAAAAAGTTTAGTCGAGCGGAGAGAAAGTATGGTATGAATTAGGTTGTTGTAGTACAAGTTCGAGGGATATCGATAAGCCTTTGGGTGATACAAAAACCGGGTGTTGTTCGCATGCACTCTTTTCGTACCCTGATTCTGAACATTCGAAGTGTTCTCTTCATATGGGCAATCATGGAAAAGAACTACGCATTTATGAGACCCGGCGGCTCTCAGGGCTGGTAAAGGAGAAGGAGTAGATGCGGCAGGCTAGTGCCGTTGGATTTATTGCCCTTCGGGCTAGAATCCGAGCATAGAATGTTTGTCTCGGGGTCCAAAATGTTGGGGATCTGTCACCCGTTCCTTTGATCTGTCATCCAATCGTAATAGTACTTTGTGGTCAGTAGATTGGAAAATATGCTGAGTCGCAGTCAGTATGGGCTCCTGACCGACTGTGCCAGGGGTGGTACCACGCGGATGATTGGGAAGTAATACAAAGCCAAAACAAAGGTGTGGAAAAAGATCGGAGTGTTCTTAAATCACTCAATGGTTCAAATGAAGCCTAAATCGTGCGACGGAGCCCTCATCGTGGCTATGCGCAGCTGAAAGACAAGGTATGCCGAGGTTTATAATGGTAAAAGATTCATTCAGAAGAATGATTTTGACGTCGCCGCAGTTTGGAACATATGGTCCACTCGAGAGGTTCTCGATCTTTACGAAACAGTTAGTGTTGTTCGCAGTTTCTTGTGGTGGTCGCAGCACCGCAGGGAACAAACGCTTGGGCGAATTGAGATCAGTGTATTACGATTAGATGCACCATCACTCACCGCAGCATATCGCGTACCTTCAACTTCCTCGTTAACAATGTCTATGGCGTCATAACTGGTTTACAGAACCAGATTGAGATGCTGACTTTCGACAACATTAAGTAGGATTGCTCACGGTTAGAAAAAATTAGAAAAAGACGAGGAAGGCGGTGGCTCGAATCGTGTTCGGTTTGATCAATCTTTTTAAAGCGTATATACCGGGAACGAATCTATTTTGGGGATGTTGTTTTCGACAGTGATCTACAACGTCGGACCCGTGTATAAGTTGCTAAAAGACACTGCGGATACACAAACTTACGGGACCGGAGAACCAAGGTCATGATGTATACGTTTGTGGGCCGCTTGCTCCATGCGAGCATGTTGTTGTAGATGCTGCGGGCGCGTCTATCAATCCTCATCGGTACTTCAATAAACGACTCGGTAGAATTAAGGAAACGCTAGCTACTTCGAAACCTTGTATGATGTCGTTCCTATGACTTGGCGTGGGGTTTGTCCTGTGAACTCAATCAACGCACGTAGGCTGCATTGAAAGGCCGACCTCGTGCCAATCGTTTGGAGCGGCGCCAGGACGGTCCATCGAGTGTTTTGGTATTCGAGCTCTCATTCAGGCTCGTTGTCGATTACTGGCCAGCAATGCAGTACTGTGTAGTGTTACAGTAGTGACACCACTGCATACCACTGTCTCTTTCTTGCACTGCCACGAGTCTCGCTGGGGGCGCCCATCAAACAATGATGTTTCGGATCGGAAGCAGCAAATTGGCAATATCAGCGTTTAATTGGGACGGGGGATTGAGTCATCCGTATGACCTTATCGGCATTGTCAGAATGAGTGGGGGGAGCTACTCAAGTTAATAATGCAGTTAAGTACTTGGTCAGAGCAGGCCATCAAGCAATCAAAATGCACCACGTAACCCTTGATGCCGCTCTCAATACAGAAACGAGTGTGGCAATCCCTCCGATTCTACCATTTTCGGGCAGTACCTGGTCAAGAAAAGCCTGGACCTACAGGACTAGCTTGTGGTGTTCGCGTGGGACACTTCCAAGAAACCAAGGAACGTAGGGGTTAGGGCCGCCTAGTCCGTCGTCCCAGCGTTTGGTGCTTGTAAAATCTACGGCGGAATACTCTGTCGTGGGATGAGGTTGATACCGCTCAATAGAAGATGGACAGATGGGACAAATAGCTGAGTGAAAGGCGGGGTATGTGAGAGGGAGGGGCGCGCGGCAATCCGAAAGAGGCAAGGGTAGTAGAACGAAAGAAAATTGCCGAGTGTGCCGTGCGGCATAGCCCCTGTGAAAATGATCATGCGTGTGTCCGCAGCAGTTGCCCTTAAGCTGCTCCTCCAACCTCGTCGCAACCATCCCCCATCTTTCTGCTTACCTTCATCTTCACCACTTCCTCGCCCAGTTCGCTCTTTGCGACTTTCATAAACTCCCCGCAGCTTAAAGCACATCTACTCTCTAACATGTCTGAGTTCTACACCTACCCTGCGCAGTCATACGTCGAGCCGCAGTCCTACGTGGACCCGCAGCTCTTCGCTGGCAAACCTGCGCCTGATAGCTTTGATTTCGACCATTCCGAGCTCGCTTCGAAGGCAGCATTCGAATTTGCTCATTACGGGCAGTCTCCAACGGATGTTGTAGCTCCTCACCCCGAACAGTTCGACGCTGAACTCGACTCTTCCCTCGCCGCTTTCGACACAGACGTTTTTAATCTCCCTCACAACTTCCTCGATACCCCTGACCTTTTTACTCAGTGGCGCTCTGACACCCCTACTCGCGGTGTTCCTTCTACTTTCACTGTCTCGTCCGAGTCCACTTACGACTCCAACTACAGCGACACCTTGTCGTCGTACCACAGCTCCAACTCCCCCTCTTCGGCATACAACCCCGAGGAAATAGACGCTGAGATGCAACGCGTCCTTGGCACAATGTTCAACAACGATAACGGCAGCATCTATGGTGGTTCTGACTACCAACCTCGTTCAACTCATGCATCCGTGAGTATTCCCAGCATGGGAGTATTTGGCAATGCTGCCGTTCCTCCTTCTGTATACCCTCGTGGCACCTCTTCCGACTACGAACCTGTTACCCAGCGACGGGTTCCCACGTCTGCATCATCAGACTACTATCCCCAAACTGGTGGTCATTATCCCGTGCAGGCGACCGTGTCCCCAGCAACCGTCTCTACTTCGTTGTCGGTACCGTCTCAATCTCCACCTTCTTTGGGTTCATCCTCTTTGAAGGGTGAGAGTTCTGACCCCAAGAAGAAGTATGCATGCCCAAGTTGCTCTCGTGGTATGTATCAATCTTATATTACCGCGTATTGTTACTGACATCTGCCATCAGCGTTTGCCCGAGCCTACAACTTGAAGACCCATGTCGCCACTCATGACCCCAACCGCTCTAAGCCCTTTGCTTGCAAGCACAAGTCTTGTGGCCGCGCTTTCAGCCGCAAGCATGATCTACGCAGGCATTTGGTCGCCATCCATCGTAGTGACTCTGGCTCTACTACATCATCCGAAGCGGTCGGTGTTGAGCGCGGCCAACGCAACCGCTGCGAGGGCTGTGGCAAGAGCTGGGTCGGTGATGATGACTCCCAGGCTTGCGACTGCGACGATGAGAAGTAAATGTCTGTCCCCGTGTATTAATGCATAGTTTCAATGCCCTTCATGTTTGCGTATGTCTCTTTCGAAACTCAAACGTTATGCACCTCGTTGACATTTACCCCTTCCTCAGTTCGCGCAAAACTCACTTCCGTCCGAGTAGTTGTGAGGAATTCGGTCTTGGTCCGTGGACCGTATATGATATTCCTCATTACCATGACGACGATTATGGCCAACATCTCACGTATATATCCCCTTGTCAAGTCGACGATTGTTCCGTGATTTATGTTGCTCCCCCTTACCTATTCTTTCTACATGGAAGTTAGTTATTCTCTTCTCGAATTGATCTGTTGTGTATACATGTCATTCCCTCGTTCACTGCGTCTCTATTTCTCCGTTCTTCTCCGTTCTTTCTTAATTTATTAGTACCTGCTTGACTATCCCTCCTTTACGTCGACTAAATCCAAAATATTATGTTACGTGCATTCCTTTCCTCTAGTTTATTCGTCCTGAAACGTCAATAGATATTTTTATGCCGCATCTCTGCTCGAAACATAAGTCAACTGGCGCGGGTACGACTTGGCCCGTGCGACGCTGAATGTGGGTGTAAAGTGACGTCCATGACGTCCCTTGTTGCACTACGGATTCGCGTTTGCTCCAAGTTGTGTCAGACCCGGAGTGAACACACCGTTGGCGTTGCGTCTTCGGACGTCACTTTGCATACTTAAACAATCCAGAGAGGACGCCATGGTCCCTACAAACTCACTCCCACCTTTCATTATATTCGCACCCATCCACAGATCACTCTACGGTTTGTGTCTGAGTCAAATCCAGATATGATAATATGAGTTCGACCCAGGGTATTGCCGGGACTCTCAAACAAGCGTTCACCTCCGCTACGCAAAACAGCAAGGTCGCTGATTTACAACGCAATATAATCGACCCTCCTAGTCACGCCGGCGATCAATATTCCCATACCACTGATCATGGTGTCCCTATTCATGACACTGACAATTGGTCGGTTTTTTGAAATATTTTATAAAACTATGACCTCATTGTAGTCGTAGGCTCAAAATTCAAAACGGTACCTCTACCGGACCCTCGTTGCTCGAGGATCAGGTATGTAAAGTTTTAAGACCAAGACTAACATCCTCTCTGAAATGTTATTACAGATTGCGAGAGAGAAGATTCATCGCTTCGACCATGAGCGGATTCCAGGTGCAACATGACCCTTTTTCGCTCATACTAGATTACTCACCGCCTTATAGAACGAGTTGTACACGCTCGCGGTGCCGGAGCGCACGGATACTTCAAAGTCAGTCATTAATGCGTGTATGAATGCGCATACACTGACGTCATAACGCAGGTTTATGATGATAAAGCTTCCAAGTATACTTCTGCACCTGTTTTAACCGATTCCTCTCGAACCACACCTGTATTCGTGCGGTTCAGCACCGTTCAAGGTTCGCGAGGAAGTGCCGTACGTGATTATCCTCTCCAGTCTCTTTTTGTGATCTTGACTTCGATTATAGGACACAGTACGTGATGTTCGAGGATTCGCTGTCAAGTTTTACACCGGTTAGCCTTCTTGTTTGACCTCCAGTTCCGATTATTAATGCATGTCATGAAGAGGAGGGAAATTGGGATCTCGTCGGCAATGATATTCCAGTATTCTTCATCCAAGACGCTATCAAGTTTCCCGACATTGTTCATGCGGTCAAGCCCGAGCCTCACAACGAAGTCCCGACAGGACAATCTGCTCACAACAATTTCTGGGATTTTGTCGGCCTCCAGCCCGAATGTATGCATAAGAGCTTTCGTTCCTTTTGTATCTTCTGCTAACATGTCCTGTCAGCTGCTCATATGATTATGTGGGTCGTGTCTGATCGAGGAATCCCTCGCTCCTACCGTATGATGCAAGGTTTTGGAGTGAACACATACACTTTGATCAATGGCAGCGGCGAGCGTTTCTTCGTCAAGTTTCACTGGCTCCCGGAGCTTGGTGTTCATAGCTTCGTTTGGGACGAAGCACTCAAGATCTGTGGTCAGGATCCAGGTATGACGTCTATCCTCGTGTCCCTTCTTTACCTTTCTGATCACAATACCATCGTAGACTTCCACCGTAAGGACCTCGAAGAGGCCATAAAGAATGGTGCCCCTGCTAAATGGCAATTCGCTATCCAAGTTATACCAGAGGCTCGCGAACATGACTTTGACTTCGATATTCTCGATGCCACCAAGCTTTGGCCTGAGGAGCTCGTCCCTCTCGAGGTTCTCGGAGAGATGGTCCTTGACAGAACCGTGGACGAGTATTTCACCGAGGTCGAACAGGTCGCCTTCTGTACCTCCCATGTCGTACCTGGCATCGGCTTCAGTGACGATCCACTTTTGCAAGGAAGGAACTTCTCTTACTTTGACACTCAACTTAGTCGTCTAGGGATCAACTGGCAGGAGTTGCCGATCAATCGACCTGTTTGCCCTGTCCTGAATACTCATCGTGACGGTGCCATGAAGCACACGATCACCACTGGTCAGGTTAATTACTGGCCCAATCGGAAAGAGCTTTACAAGCCGGTAGCCCCAGAGCACGGTGGATATGTTGAGTGTGTACCATTTCTTTGGAATGTTATAGCCGCGCCTGACAGATTCATCCAACAGATTCCAACAGAAGGTCTCAGGGATTAAACAACGTCTACGAGCTCCTAAATTCCGGGAGCATTTTAACCAGGCTCAATTCTTCTTTAACTCGCTCCAGCCTTGGGAGAAAGCCCACCTCATCTCGGCTATCTCTTTCGAACTTTCCCATTGCGATGATCCTGTAGTTTTCGAGAGCTACACCAAGGTGTTGAACAATATCGATTTCGAGCTTGCTAAACAAGTCGCCCAAAACGTTGGCGGCGTTGTCCCCGACAAACCGGCTCGCCAAAATCATGGCAAAGCGACTCCCACATTGTCTCAGCTTTACTACGCTCCAAAGCAACCGACAATCAAATCGCGAAGGATTGCATTCCTTCTTGCGGACGGCTTCAACCTCGCTCAAGTTGAAGGAATACGGGCTGCACTCAAGGCAATCGGTGCGACTACTTGGATCATTGGTCCCCGTCGTGGATATGTCTACCCTGCCGGAGAGGTAGTTGGTACAGGACAAGGACTTTGGGCTGACCATCATTACGAAGGTCAGAGAAGCACCCTTTTCGATGCTTTCGTCGTACCCGGCGGTAAAGATCACGCACAAAAATTGGCGGGTACCGGCCGAGCGATTCATTGGATTCGTGAAGCGTTCAGGACACTGCAAAACTATTGGTGCCGTCGGTGAAGGTGTGTCATGTTCGAACTGATAGGTTTGGAAAACGAAACTGACATCAATTCAGCTGTCGCATTCTTGCGCGAAGCCGTCATCCTACCTGGAGTCACTTTGGCTACCAACATTAACAACAATGATGTTGCAGTATCGTATGGTGTCGTCACCACTGGGACCGTTGATACCGGTACACTTGCTTCTGATGCAGTCAAGATTGCACAAGGCGAAAAAGGCTTTGTGTCCAACTTTGCTTACGAAGTTAGCAAACATAGGAATTACGAACGCGAGTTGGATGGCTTAACTGCTAAAGTTGCCTATTGAGAAGCAAGTTCGATTGACGGGAAAACGCTCATACACAAAAAAACTTGACTCTGTATTCTCTGTGCTGACTTAGTGTAACAATAGCTCGTCTTATGACACTGCGATAACTGTACCAGTAGCAATTAATTGTGTATTATATCAGCTTCCTCGTGTCAGTTTAGTAGGACAAATGTAAGGTTCGGTCAAAAGAATATCATAGCCCACCGCGAGGGTCGAACTCGCAGCCTTCAGATGACAGGATCTTGTGACACCCCGACTCAGAATTAAGAGTCTGACGCTCTATCCGATTGAGCTAGGCGGGCGTTGATGCGCCTCGGCTAGACGGGTATCAATCGAGTTAGGCTGGCTTGCCCGTTATTTAGTCCCGACTCCTGAGCGGCGTCGTCAAGCTTCTGCTAAGTATAAATATAAACGTCTGACATTACAAGATTACCATTACCGGGTTACGCATTTACTTACCAGTGTTTTGTTTCTTCAAGCAATCCAATTCAAATGTCTCGGAATTCCTCGATGTCTAGTCGTCAGAAGGTTGAAGCCATACTCGCGGAGATACGCGACACCTATGAAATGTCATTCGGCCACTTTCTATTGGAGTTTTTTCGATACAACGATGTCGCTGGCGAGCCTCTTTCCAGGTCGAGGTTGCATACGGATGCCCTCAAAGATATACTTCGAGGACATACGCCCTGTTACTCACTTGCTTATATTCTCAAGGAAATTTTGAACGATCCCATGGCATATCCCAAACGAGGTGTTGACAAAGAGGAAGCGTTTTCCCCCGCTGCCCCGTATCCCATGATCGCTGCGTCCGCTCTGTCAACAATGGTCACAGAACTTGCACGGACTCGCAGGTTGGCATACATGGATGAGGTCTCAAAATCGATGCTAGTGCCATACATGACTGAGGACTTGGATTCGGAACCTCTGTACATGGTTCCTTCAGTGAGTAAATGCACACCCAAAATTTCTTGGGCTAATTCCCCTTTGCAGCCAGTGAATCCTAGCCCAATGATGCGAATGCATGATATTGGCTTGCAGCTGATTTTCGATGTACTTACGCCTTCGGCAGAAGACTTATCCCCTACCCCGTACCGTGGACCAGACTCGCTGTGGGCTCAGAGAATCAGGACATGGAAGGCTGTTGCACTGGTATCCCGTCGCTGGAATCTTCTCGCCAATCCTTATCTATACCGCTATGTTGGTTTGCGCCGAGTGGGACAGCTACTTGCGTTGGTTAGGACCCTTAAAAGTACTGACGGGTTTGGCAATATGATCAAGCATTTGTCCTTCTCGTGTTTCGTTCCGAATGAATGGGACTCTGTTACCAACGAGAGTATCTCCTATCTCCTGACGAAATGCCCCAACATTCACTCATTATCTCTCATGGAGAACTTCTCCCAGTGGCTACACACGTTCCGGCAGGATGGCACGAGAAGATGCCAAATCTCGGACGAGACCATACAAGCAGCTACTTCTATTACTGATGTTTCGTATTGTTATATTGCTCCGAACGACGTTGCCAACCTTTCTCAGTACCATGTGTTTTCGTCCCTTCCGAACATCACCTCCCTCACGTTAAACATGGAGTATCCAAGTTCTCCTTCATATCTCACATGTCTATTTGATCTCCAACAAGGCCATCTGGATGAGATTCGCGCGAATCCTGCCGCATACCAGGACTTACCCTTTCTGCAGGGCTTGGATCCCAGGTTAAAACACCTCCGCATTGACGGCGGGCTTTGGTTTCGAGATAGATGCCATATCATCTCACAGCGACTATTGCACCTCAACCTCTTCGAGCGGTTCACTAACCTTCACCTTGTTATTGACGATCACTATAACATGGAAGGGAAGGCAATTACGGGTCGACTCGATGTGTGGAAAAACTTTGAGTATCCATGTCAAGGAGGATCAAAGTTCTACACTTGTTTCTGCGAACAACCCTCAACGCCGGGTTTGCGTTTCCTCCATAGGCACCTTAGACACTTCCTTCCAAATTTACCTTTCACCTTTCCACCTGATGCCATCGATCATGACTCTCCTGACGAAGACGTACACAATTTCTTTCGGACACGCTTGAGGGTTGCCTCAGACGTGGTAACTTTCTGCGACGAGTATTGGGAAAACCCTTCTTGGGAATCCGAAAGCCAGAGTTCAGATCAAGGTAACAGATCACCACTCTCAACTCTATCCGTACTCTGACTTCATTTTCAGATCATTCTCATTCATCAGGATCATCGGTCCACGACGAAGACTCGACAAACGAAGACTCAGATGCATATGTGCCTGAAAGCGATGATGATAGTGACTCGGATGATGTTTGGTCATATTATAGTGACGACAACAATATAGACATGGTGCAACTAACCGAGGAGGAAGCACTAGAAAGATTGATGCCAGTATCATAACACCAACGCCGGAGTATCTTATGCAACGCAATAGGTATACGATATAATGTATTATACGAATATACCCTCCTTCACTGCCAGCAGGCCTAATTTCAAAACAACTTAAAACCTAGACTCGGAAGCGGACGGTTTCCGTGATTCAGAATGAGGTAGGGATTATGGCACGGATGCGGATGAACATCTGTCCCTTTCGAATGGGACGTTTCATCCCTAACCCCTAGACGCCTCGGGTACTACCAATATGTTAGTGACGGACCACTCATTGACGCGTTTCTTTCAGCTTTCAGGCCTGAGGCTGACAAGGTGACACTACCCTTCTTCCCCGTAAGTTGATTCAGTTGACTCTAGATGTTTCCATGTTCAATAACTAAACATTCTTCAGATGCACCACTGTTTGACGATATCCGAGATTCTAGACCATGTGTTCGAATACTGCGTAGCACAAGAGGTAGACTACGAGAATACGCTCGCAGCAGTAGCTCGTACATGCAAGACATTCTATGAGCCAGCAGTGAGCGCTCTGTACTACCAGTTACAGGATCTTAGCCCGCTTTTGAAGTTACTTCCCAAAGATTTCTGGTTTGAAGAACAGGAACCTGGTTCTCTTGGTGGTATACTAGTCACTCTGGTGAGTACTTGGTTCTTATGTGTTGATCATTCGTATATCTAATTGCCTCCTTGAAGCATCTGACAAAGCTTCCAGAAGCTGATGCAGACTGGGCCAATGTAAATAAACATCTTCACAGAGTGAAGAAGATCAAGATAGATGATCAACGTAGCTGTAAAATTCGACATCGAATCTCTCATCTCGCTATCCAGGCGATCGTGCTTCGTTGCGCTCAGATGGGCTGGCCGGATCAACCAAACGCAGTTTTCCTACCACAACTGGAAACTCTCTACTGGGACTGGGGAAATCACGATCTCAGCCTTTTTGGCAGCGTGTTCTGTATTGCCTCGTCAAGGCTGAAAATATTCTCTACAGAGCTCGTTGTCGAGCCTGCACACCACGCCGTTGAGACCATAGTAGCCGCTGCTTTCCTATCCTTCCCGCGGTTCTTCCCTGCATTACAGATCCTCAACGTCACCTTTTTGGGGGACGATCTTCGTCTTATGTCTACTCAAGAGGCTGTGTCTAATATCATACCATCCTATCCAGAACTCCGACGGGTGGAACTTCCGCCAACCGTTGAAGATACAACGCTGTTTCACGTCGCTCAGCTTCCATTTCTTACACACCTTTCGTGCTATCTACCGCAAGATGGAGGCTTCTTCATGAAATCCACTCGCGGACAGAGGTTCTTCCCAGCATTGAAAAAAGTGTACTTACATGGTGCGGATATGAATCACTGGCCTGATGTTATCCAGGACATCCAGACCGTTAATATTCGCTCATTCATATTTACGCTTCTTGGAAGACCGTAGCGTCGTCTTCGTCGCTAAGGAGACTTTTCAAAGGACTAGAGAAGCAGTCCAAGTTAGCGGAGCTTCGGGTTCTTGCGTCCCCTAACGCGGAATCCTATAATTCTGACGATGACGAACATGTTATTCACCCAGAGACTTTGAAACCCCTCTTGTCTCTACACAACTTGACTTCTCTTTTCATCGAACATGACTTCTCCGTCGATTTGGATGACGAATGTGTGAAGTCCATGGCACTCTCTTGGCCAGATCTCCAGCACCTTACCATTATCCATCGCGAACCTGCTTCACGCGGGACTCGAGCTACCTTGCAATCGCTGGGATGGTTAGTCAAGTACTGTCGCAGGCTGCGAACCATCCACCTGGGTTTTAACCCGACACTACCTCCACCTGAAATATATCGGGAGATCTTCAACCCAAAGGCAACCGATGACAATTCCCTCATCCACCTCCATTTCTCCTACTACTCACCAGTGGAGTCCGCCAACATCACGCCGATAGTAGCATATATTCTTGACTTGCTCCCCAAGATGAAAGCCATTCATTTTGATTACGGTAGTGTCATGGACGTCACTAAAGAATTTTGTGAAGCCTGGGATAATCTTGTTGAGGAGATGAGCATGCGCAGTGCCAGTTTGCGAAGGCCGGGCGGAACTTCGTTAGCAGTTCGTAGTTCAAGTACGCTTCCAGAAGAGGATTAGGTGTATTACATGTACATGCATTTATCTGTAGGTATCATAGTTGTATTGCCTCGACCATTACCCCTCTCGCTTTTCGTGCCTCTTATTCCGAGTCATCATATTTCTTATCCCCTTATACATTCTCATAATTACTTACAAGTATGTATCTCGGACAACTTTGGACTGTCCACTTGCATTATTACAGGTATCATCTAATCAATTATCGTTTACCTAGGATTACAACAAAATATGCGCAGAAACATTGAATGCGAGAGGTACAAATACACTGGCATGACATAGCAAAACAACAAATGATAAACAAGAAAAAGACAACACCAACTTCGGAAGATAGCTCAGACTCCGACCCTGCATGGATAGTTTAGTAGTATTCCTGATGCCTTTGAAGAACATGTCTTACCGGTGTACAACTTTCTTTTGTGAAGAGAATCGAACGATTTCACGTTTTTCCATGATGAACAACATTCGTTCCAGAGCATGTGCAGAGTATCCTTGTTGGGTGACAAACTCTTTGACTAAGCTCTGGTAGCTCGTGCTCCAACCAATAGGTAGTCTTCGTCGGATTTCTTTTTCAATCCGGCTCATCTCGTCGTTGAGAGCACCTCGTGAAAGACCATCTGCTGAACCAGCTGAGACTGCGTCCATAGTCGAGAACCTGAATAGACGGAATGCCTCTTCAACGTGATGGTTCTTAACTACAGGCGATAAAGTCATTTTTGCAAGAGATTCGGATATTCGGATGATAGCCTCCAGTTGTCTATGATATCATGACTCAGT